TATTTTTACTTGCGGCTATTTAACAATGTGGGACCCATTTCTCCTTTCAAGTGTGAACGGAAATGCTCCTGTACGCCGCAACTACCCCCATTAAAACATTTTAATAAAGTCGGTGGGACCCACTTTTTCCGTTTAAATATTACCCCACCTTCACCGCAATATTAATTATCCTTTTTGTACGTGATGCCACGTCATCTACCACCCCACAAATCCAACGGATCTCAGGCAATCAACATCGTGTTGGTGGGCGCCAGCTCCTCGCCGCGTAACACTCCACTACTCCCCATGTCGGTTGTGGTTCAACCGTAATTTCATCAAAATTTAAGCCCGAAATTCGGGTCCGAAATTGCCCGACCGTTATAAATACCCGGACCCCCCTTTTACTCCATTCGACAGAAAATCTCTTCGCTCAAAAAAAAAAAAACAAAAACAAGAACCAGAAAACCCTAGAAGATCAAAATCGAATTACCATGAATCGCGAGTCGCCTGCTCTCTTCCTCTCGCTTCTCCTTCTGGCGCTTCCTCTCTTTGCCTCCGCAGCCAGGAAAACTGCGGCGGTTCCCGGCGGGTGGACGCCGATAAAGGACTTGGACGACCCGCACGTGGTGGAGATCGGAAAGTTCTCGGTTGCCGAGCACAATCAGGAAGCGAAGACGAATCTGAAGTTCGTGAAAGTTGTCAGCGGCGAGCAGCAGGTCGTTTCCGGAGTGAATTACCGCCTGATCATCGCGGCCGATGATCCCAAGGACGGAGTCGGAAAGCCGAAGGACTACCAGGCTGTGGTGTGGGAGAAGGAATGGGAGCATTTCAGGAAGCTCACTTCGTTTAAGCCTTTCGTGAAAGCCTGAAGAAGTTAATCGATTAGGAGGTTTGTTGAGTTATATTGTGTAGCTATAAACAGGCGTATTGTATTTAGCCCGTGTCGTGTCGTGTCGCGTTTGTGTCGTGCTCTGCTCTCTCTCTCTCTCTCTCTCTCGGATCGGGAGAGATGTGTCGGTAAGAAAAAATAAAAAGTAATTTGAATGTGAATTTGAATTTCGGTTTTGTTTATTAGTATTAAATTTCTAATTAAGTGTTTGTAAATTTTAATTTATTAATATATTAATAAAATTATAATGATTAAATTAAATTAAAATTTAGCAAATTTATTACGTTTATTTTTTTAAAACATCAAATTCCCAAAACAAAAAAAATTGAAATTATACACTTCTAGATATGTTTAATAATATTTTTTTATTATTCTAAAAGCAAAGAAGAATTTATTACGGGTGGCCTACTTTTGTCTTGTTTCTTTTCTAAAGATGTTTGGTATAATAATTATTTTTTGAATTATATAAGTTTAGAAAATACTAGAAACTTTACACAACACGACAAAATTAAAAGACCAAAAAATGTGACTTCCAAATCCAACCTCACTCCGTTAAAACGCACGTGACATTTGAAAAAAAGTTCCAACGTCGTATTCGAAGCCGGTGCTTGTCTAACGACGTTGATGGAGTTCGGTCACCGGCTTTACTCCGTCGTGAATCCAGATTAAAAATAAACATAATTTAACGGATTAAAAATTATTTTTAATTATATTTTATTTTAATTAATATTTTTTAAATTAAATAATGAGTAGATGGAATGATGGTGGAAGAGCGGATGGAGGAGGAAGAAATGTGGAAGATGAATAATTGGGTGTTATAAAATTTATGCTGAGGGTAAATTTGGAAAAACACATATTTTTAAGACAAATTTTTTTTTTTTTAATATATATAGACGTGAGCATATATGTAAATACACGGAACTTAAAACTAAATAAAGTCACAAATTAAGTGCATAAGCGAAGTAATAAAAATTTAAGATTTATATTTCTTACACAATAATTTAAAATATCCAAGAGAACTACGGTAATGACCTTTCTAAAAGAATAAATAAAAATTAAATAAATAAATAAAATGCAGTGTGTTGAGCATTTTAGGACGACCTTCACTACCTTTTGAAGGGAGTCCGGGTGATGAACTACTCACGACCCTCTTGTTGATTATGATCTGGATCTTGGTTCTCTTGATCTGAAATAGTTAATGAAAATGTGAGTTACATTAACTCAGTAAAAATATCACACTACTCACCGTTACAGAAACTGAATGTTAGTAAAAATCGTTAAAACAATTAATGAACCTCTTGATTTAAGTAAATTTATTTATCATAAGAAAAAAACACATTTATTGTATATATATACTGTTGCGAGATTTTCAAAATCGACCTATAAATATACAATAATTCAAATAATATTTTAATCTCATTCTCAAGTGAGCAATAATAATAATTTTTTCTTTTTTTTTTATCTACTAATATCATTAGAGGTCCATAGGGATGTGGCACTACGCGTGAATCCATATCTAATATTGTTAACAAATCGATCGTCTCCATACCATGTCCGGTATGAATGCCAAAAATACTATTATTCAATACTCCGTCTGATATAAAGGTGAATCGGGCAGTTCTCATACCTCGTTCGGTATAAGCGCCAAAAATTTCGTTCCTCAATACCCCATCCAGTATGAAACAACATTCACGATAGAGTTTTCTATGCACTCGGTCTGTCCACCATCTCCTACGATATCCAGTAAGGCTACCATTCATTAATTCACACTACCAAAAAAAATTTCGTTTGCATATTAATTACCAATTTCACAAATTAATCGTAATTCATGCATGACAAGCAATATATATATATATATATATCAAGGAAGCACAATTAAATCAATTAATCATTTTAGTATGTCATCATATATTTAAAACTGTAAATTTAACCATCAATTAAACAGAATAACAAATAATTAACTAACCGGTTTTCGGCTCAATTGGTAACTTGTAATTATTCTCAAATTTTTCTAAATTATACAAAATATCATATTACCGATTATTAAAATTTAATTGCATAACAGATAATAAGGTGAGAGATTCTCACCCGAATCGGTGTCTGATATACTGAACTTTCTACTGCGTCTACTAGCAGTCTTCAAGTTTCCTGAATTTTTCTGCAGATATTAAAACACACTTTAGGTACTTAAAAATACCCCAAAAAATCCAAAATCAGTTTTAAAAATATTTTCATACCAATTTTGGAATTCTGGCACAGTGGCACCGACACCTATAGTGGCGATTTACCTCGGCCTAGCTATTTTCTGCCAATTTTGATTGATTTCGGTCGATTTTATCTCTCCTTGTATTTTTCTTCAGTCAACCTATAAAAAATAAAATGGTGAACATAATTGTAGAAAAATCGGATGAAATAGAAAACAGGAAAGGGATCATCGGAAACAGTTTCGGATTTTGCCCACGATAGCGCCACCGAGCTTTGCCCGCAATTTTTGGCTCATTAATCGTTCTTTTTGCTCTGATTTGGTCACGAGAGTATTTGAAATCAAATGTGGCTCCAGCACGGCAGCGGACGACTGTCGGCTCCCTCCTCCAGCAATTGATTCTTCTTTTCCGACGGGAGGCTGGCGGATAGGGTTTGGGTTAGGCATGATGCGAGATATTTATAACCGTCTTTCTTAAATATGGATCGTTCATTGCATTTGATTTCGACCGCCCGATCGCATTTAAAGAATAAATAAATCTGGACCGTTCATCGTAATTTGATCTCGACCGTCCTATCGCGTTTAAAGAAGAAACAAATCTAAACCGTTCGTTCATCGCGTTTAATCGCGACCACCCGATCGTGTCTAAGGAGGGAACGGATTCGGACCGTTCACGCATGCGGGAATGCATCCGAGCCGTTCAATCGCAAGTACGCGGATTGCCAGCATGGCCTCCCATGTGGCACCAAGTCAACGTGTCTTACCACGCATCACGCTCTGATTCGTCGGGGCTGCTGATTGGGCGGTCTTACGGGGCGCAATTTTCTTTAATTGCGTTTTGACTTCCAGTTTTTTATTTTTCTTTCAAAAATACCATCCGAATCTAAATTTTTACCCATTTTTTTCAAAATTATTTTCAATTTCATCATAAACTTATTTTTTTTCATAATTTCGCATTAAATAAAAAATTATTAATTTTAAAATTATATTTTTTAAAATTTTAAAATTAATTTCAGGACAAATTCGGACTCCGGTTATTACAATAGATGGGATTTAAAAACTATATATGAAATGATCAAATGTTAAATTATAGGTGCTGGATTTTTTAAAATAATTACAGAGAATAAAAAAGAGAAATATCGAATTACAAAATATTAAACTGTAATTTATCTAAAATTTATATATCCTTAACAAAATTTTATAAAGTCTGCAAAAAAAATTCAAAACATTTGATTAATAATTAATAAATTATTAAGACAAAAATATTTTTTTTAAAAAAATTATTTATGATATAATAAATATTATTTGATAAGATAATAATATAAAATTATTTATTTTTAAAATAAATTAATAACTTAAATTATAATCTTTACACATTTAAAATTATCGAACGTAGTGAAAATGTGGGAGCATGTGTTAACGACAAGCATATATATATATATATGTATGTATGTATGTATTTAACATACACGTGTTGAAAAGTATATTTAAAATTAATTTTAAATTATAAATATTTATTTTTTTTATTTAAAATATTTCGAATGATATTTTAAAAATTTTATTGGGATTTTCTCACCGTCTCATTCCCACTCTTTGATTTTTTCTTAAATTTCTTTTACTTATTCTTTATTTTCTTTAATAAATATTATTAAAATACATATTTTCTCGTAAAAATATTAAATTATTATATAATTTTTTTTTTTTAAGATATCTTCAAATTTCATCAAATTTTTTGAAATTTAAAATTTATTTGTTCAATTTTAATCGAAATATTTTAGGAGTTAAATTAAATTTTTTCAATATAATTTAATTTTACAAATAAGAGTTAAAAGAAATTAATACTAATAACTTAAATGTGGGGAAGATCCGGCCCAATAAATGTAAAGATACAGATCTTATCATAATGTGGGTCCCTGTAGGTGACGTGGCACGTTCCCATTGGTTAAGTCAACAGTTTCGATCTAGTATGTTCGTAGGGGAGCAGAGGAACTCTAATCAGTTGACTCGAACTAGTCTCAAGATCAACGACCAACACCAACTGTATGTGAAATTCAGTAACCAAGATCCCCAAATTCACAGACCTGCAAAAATCAGTTAATAAATAAATGGATAAATAATCAAAACCCCCGAAATTGTCTGTTCACCTGCTTCATG